CCGGCTGCCCTTCCTCCTTGCCGGCGAAGGGTCGGGCCGCGGGGGGCGACACGCCGTAGCGCAGCCGAGAGATGCCACATCAGAGACCCGCGTTTGGGAAGGTGTTGTTATTCGCATCCCTCCAGCCGGGCAGTATAAATAGACACATGCTGTCCCCCCTCTGCATCCTGGCGCTTTTGAGTCCACTTCTCCCGTTTGCGCACCTGGTGTTGCAATGTTTGCAAACATAGCTGGTGAGGTTTATTCGTTTTGGCGATTAGAGTCTCTGGAGGTGGTTCACAAAGTGTCCCGTGGGTGCGTAATGATCTTGGGGTTTGTCAAAGCTTGCATTTAAAAAGGCTAATTTATGGTCTGCATTTGACAAATGCCTCTTATACGAAAGTCCTTGTGTTAGGTGGACTGTAGTGTTTGTCCTGTTCTGCTGGTAACGCAGGGACGAGGCGTAACATGCACTGGTATGCCTCTGGGTCTGCCCAGCACAGCCCGGTTCGGTGCAGGCGAGAGCACGTCTTTCACTGCAGTTAATAAAACCTCTTCCCTGCCTCCGTTATCAATGCTGCAGTTTCTCCGAACTGCAGGGTCTCTTATTTAAGGGGATGAATTTGACTCGACCCAGCAGATGGACTGGATTTCTTAGGCAGCAGTCCCTGCTTTTCCCTGCCGTGGTTCTCTTTGTTACCTAGCCTTTGTGTGCATGCGTGTGTGTACCTGCAGATAGATGCACTAAATTCAGGTGTTTTGACTAGATTCCCATGAGCACTTCTTTCCAAGGTGGTAAATACAGCTGTACAGACTATTTGCAGTGGACCGCCAGTGCACTGTTTGTGCTTCAAGTCCCAGGGAAAGCCAGTGCACCAAGGCTCTGTGTAACAATAGGAAGCCAGCGAAGTTCCCCATAGAAGTTCCCTGTTTAGCGACATTCCTCACTCCCCACCCAAGGTCACCTCTTGAGCAAGCTGAGGTCAGGACATTTTGGACAAGATGGGATGTAATGGAGCAACGAGCAGCTGAGTAGAGTGCCATTCTGTAAGAGAAGTGGGTTCCCTTGGAGTTGAACCTGCATGGTTTGGTCTGCGTCCAGCATCCACAAGGCAGGCTGCAGTGCTTAGGACAGGAGCTGAAGCTGAAGTTCCCTAGGGCCTGGTTGTAAATGACCCCCCGCAGAATTAGCTGTGATTCTCTACTGGTCCCAGGGTATGAGCATGTAAGCATTGCTCAGAATCCCTCTCCTCCCCATCATACCTCCCATCGGATGTAACTAAAGGAGAGGCAGTTTCTTTCAGGGCCAGAATGCTGCAGTGGTTTTCTGGAAAAATGCAACTGTCTGAAGATACTCTATGAAAAAAATGTTGCTCCTTGCCTGACTGCAAGAGCTCTCTTCTGATTTTAATTTTCTTCTCTTGCAGGCTCCTTGCAGTGGCCATTTGCTGCTAGATCCGTGGGACTGTATCATTTCTTCCCACTGGGAGCACTGGTTGCCGATTGACCAGCCAAAGATGAGGACAGCAGAGGATTCCTCTGGGACAGTCCTGCACCGGCTCATCCAGGAGCAGCTGAGATATGGGAACCTTACAGAGAACCGCACGCTGCTGGCGATTCAGCAGCAGGCCCTGCGTGGAGGAGGAAGCAGCAGCAGCCCTCGCTCTTCCCTGGAGAGCCTTACACAAGAAGAGAGCCATATGGTGCAGCAGTCTACCCGGCAGGAGCCCCAGGGCCAGGAGCACCACTCCGACCACATCTACCTGGAGAACAACCTGTACCGGCTCTACCAGCCACAGCACAAAGGCGAGGAGCTGCCCACCTATGAGGAGGCCAAGGCCCACTCCCAGTACTACGCCTCACAGCGAGGGGGACAGCAGGCTGGGGTGGCCAGCTCAGGGGCTCACACCGAGACAGGCCAGCGCAGAGCTTATGCTGCCGACAGCAGCAGCAAGCGCCAGGACGAGTCCCTGAAGGATCTGAAGCACGGTCACGTGAGGTCGCTGAGCGAACGCCTCATGCAGATGTCACTGGAGAGGAACGGAGCCAAGGCCCAGAACCACATGAGTTCCTCCCACAGCTATCCCCAGCTTTCGAGGCACTACCAGCTGTCTGCTCTGAGAGGCCAGCATGCTGAGGGGATGGAGCCACGGGGGCCCCCTCCAGAATACCCCTACATTATGCCCTCCCAGGAGCCCTCGGTCAGCTACCTGGCAGATCCCAGGCCTTGCTCCAGGGATGGCCCAGGGTATCAGCACCCTGAAGTCAGGTAACCAACAGCATGTATATTGCACCTCACCATCCGCAACAGAACAGCATGCACTGCCAACTCCTGCAGTCTTGGGGGCAGTTAGTTGCCGTAGCCCTGGAAAAGACGAATAGAAAAAGTGCTGGGTAACTTTGCCTTCCAATGCATTCTCATGCCCAAGGCTTTGTGCATAAGCAGAGAAAGCCAAGCCTTGCAGAATAAGGAGAGGAGGCAGGGACTCTACTGTCTTCTGCTAATTGTGCCAGTCCTCACTTTCCCCCAGTTCTATGGATACTTTCCCAGATCTGGAAGTGCTGGCAAATGTGGAGGGGCAGAGAATCTGGGCATTTACTTTTTATCATGCTTTTAAAGCTACATGCATCTCAGGTGAGGCTAGAGTAGGGTTACATTTGGCCCACTGTCTCTGAAAATTAAACTGTTCTTAAAAGCCCTTTCCCCTGGTGTTATGAGTGGAATGTCTGGTTGATTTAGGAGCTGGAACTGAATCAGGAAATGGCTAAATTTGGAACAGGCTTGTGCAATGATGAAGAGAAAATGCAGTTACCCCCCCTACATGGACAAGTACCAATCCTGCACTGGGAGGGCAGGAGGAGAGTGCAGTTACTGTCTCATAAGTAGCCTGTGGACTGTGGGAGCTGATGACAGTGCTGAGTACAGAATAGCATCAGCTTTCTTGGGGTCAGCCTTGGTTATTACAAGCTTCTAAGCAGCTGTGTGCAGTGCCATTGATACCATGCTGTTGTCCACTTTGCAAACACCAGAGACCAAATCCAGCTTTACTTGCCTCCATTGCAACCTTAGGTCAAATCCTGCTCTCTATTACACCAGGGTAATTCCAGTAAAACCAGTTAAGGCTCCTCTTCTTTTGGCTGCTTCAGTGAAGGGTTGTTAAGAGGTGGTGGGGAAGATGACAAGTGCATCAAGTACCTTAGCAAGCCCCAGCTTGGCTTGTCTCACACCCTGCACTGCTAACGATGCAGGACTGCTGTTGTAGTTCTTAGCCTGCACAAAGCATTGCTCATTTCAGTTTGCTTGGGAGTTTGATCACGTTATAAACTATGTCTGTGGTTACTTAAAATGGGGGAAAGAACAGAGTTACAGGGGAGAAACAAAACCTTAGTTACCCCTTTGAGCTGTTCTGTCCTGTCCCTACTGCCCCCCATTTCGTAGCTGCTTGGTCTCCCAGTGACTTCTTAGCAAGCTGCATAGTTGGGAAAGGTGGAGGAGAGTGCATATGGGTTCCTGCTGCTGGATAAGTCAGAATGAATGCTGGCAGGAAGAGATAGCATCTCTGGCAGGAAATGCTCTCTCTTTGAGGGAACAAAGAGGGGAGGGGGTCGCAAGCAGAAAGGAAAATGTATTTATTCTTTTTTGCTACCGAATCATCTCACAAGAATGCAGACCCACGTTTAAATAAGCCTCCCCAGACCAGACTTTGGTTAAATCTGGTACAGCTCCCATCCCATGCAGCAGCCATATTAAATTCTGGGAATTCCAAGCTGCCACCAAGGACAGTGTCTGGGAGCTCAGGGCAGTTGCTTTGTGTGTTGATGGGGGAGGCGTGGGAGACCTATGCCTGCATTTAATATGTTTAGCATGCTCT